TCATCTGGAGTACTTGCTGCAGGCTGGAATACGTAGCTTCTTCTGGCAGGATCATTAGTGAATCATGAATTAGAAAGGATCAGGAAGGAAGCTGTAGTGGCCTGAGTATCTGTAAGATTTGAAGTTTTCACGGCTGTGACTATGAAGAATGTCGCTTTCTGGGATGTGGCGCCGTGTAGATATTGTAGATAAACCGACGTTTCGGAGGAACGTATCGCCTCCATCTTCAGGGTAGTCACCTGATCACGCTGGTTCCTCGCTCGCTGATTTTTTTCCTTTTCTTTTCATCATTTATTTTCAGCATACAGGATCTATGAAAGTATGACGTAGAGAGAGGAATTTAAGACATAATTATAACTGTAATCTGTCTAAAATATCTCTTAGTGTCATATATTACGAAGGAGATGTTAGGAAGAAAAGGATTTTTTTTTATTGCTAGTGGAGTGGGACTAAGTCCCTTGTACTGCGGCCACTTCTGGCCTATTGTACCAGCCCCAGATGATAGGTGAGGGTGATTGTGGAGCAATTGGTGGAATGAAGACTGGCAGGGGAAACCGAAGTACTCAGAGAAAACCTTCCCCAGCGCAACTTTTTCCACCACAAATCCCACTGGACTGGAACCCGGGCCGCCGCGGTGGGAAACCAGCGACTAACCGCTTGAGCTATGGCGCAAAAGGAGGGGTTGGTGGAGTGCCACTGTTTTAGGCACAGTATGGAAAGCAAATCTGAGCTAAGAAAATGCGTGAAGAGGACGCATCAATTATATGTTTTGAGTCTTATTCTAGCCGCATGGAAGATGTAGAAGGAAGGAACGTGACACCAGAAAGACTTTCTGTTGTGGTAGAAAACCCCCTTTTTTTTCATTTAGTTCTCAATATATCACGACATAGCCATAATGTTCTGACAAGGCCACATGTATCCCAGCGAACAGTCGATAAATCTAATGCAGCAGCAGTGTCTGAAATATTGTAAGGTTGGCGCTACTGTGAAACAAAAGACTGTGTAACTGGCAGTGATTTGTTTCTGTGCATAGCCTACTCTATATTTTCCTTCTTAAAACAAACCAGCCCAATGTTCCTTACAAGGAGATGATAGATTGAAGTAGGTCACGACAGTAACATCGTCGGAAACGTCGGAAACTCAACCATACATTTATGTGGGAATTAAGTAAAGAAAGTAAAGGTAAAGATGGACCTATGCTTAATTAAGAACCGCGCCATGAAGATATAAAGCGAATCGATGTATTCATGTGCATGTTCATAATCTCTGCATTAGATAGATGTTAGATGTCAGCTTCACGCCTCGGCCGCGTTATCTCCCGGCAGAAAGCTCCTGGTATCCATTTCATGAAGAGTCGGGATAGCGACTTTCTATGTTTTGGACGACAGAGGAGTCGGAATTCGAGTCCCGGTATAGTCAATGTCGACCAAACCGGCTCTGGGGCCCACCCAGCCTCCTATACAGCGGGTATCGTAGGCTCTTCCCTTGGGGCAAAGCGGCCGGGGCGTGAAGTTGACTACTCACCTACAGCTGGTGCTGAGGTGAAGAAAATATGGATCTATACATCCACTCCCCCATTCGTCTTCATAGCGTAGTGCTTAAAGAGTTAAGCACAGGGAAAGCTGTACCTTACCCATTGGATAGAAGACTGGGTGGGTACCAGAGCCGGTCTGGATGCTCGGAACAAGATAAGAACCCTTTTTTATATTGCGTGTCGGGTGGGACTAAGTCCCTTGTACTGCGGCCACTTCTGGCCTCTTGTACCAGCCCCAGATGATAGGTGAGGGTGGTTGTGGAGCAATCGGTGGAATGAAAATTGGCAGGGGAAACCGAAGTACTCGGAGAAAACCTGCCCCAGTGCCACTCTGTCCACCACAAATCCCACTTGACCAGACCCACGATCGAACCCGGGCTGCCGCGGTGGGAAGCCAGGAACTAACCGCTTGAGCTATTGCGCGGCCGTAAGAACCCTTGCTCCTGCGGTAAATCGAAACCAAATTCCTCGGCCGTCGAGCACAACCCATCGCTGTACGAATTTAAACAGTGAAAAAAGTCTGAACTTTTGTTTGAAAACTGTACTTTGTCGGAATCAGATTTTTTATATTATGAAGTGGTGACTGCGCAGAATGTTCTATAGCAGAAGTTTTGGGTTCGTTGTTGGAAGGCGATTTTAAACTTGGCTGGGTGACTCGATATCCTGGCATGTTTTAGTATGACTTTTTATTCTCACAGCAGTGATTAGGAAGAGCTCTGACTTTTGGGATATATAGCGCCACACAGATGGTTTAAAATCAACCGAAGTTTCTGAGGAACATGTCGCCTCTGTTTTCAGAATAAGCCAAGCAAGAAACCGAAATGGAGTAGGTAGGAACTGTCATCCGAATATAAGACGACCCACCTCCCCTGATTTTCCAGTAATTAAATAAAAACTATTTTTGGTACAATGGAATATGTCATTTAATCACGAAGTTTATAAGCGAAAACAATTAAAAACTGTACTGTTAAGAAACGCGGTGGCGTAGTTGCTTGAGGCACTATGCCATAAGCCGGAAGGTCGCGGGATCGAATCCTGATGAGGTCATTGGATTTTTTCGATTGACGTAATCCTTCCAGCCGCACTATGACCCTGGGGTCGACTCAGCCTCTAACAGAAATGAGTACCAGGAATCTTCGTGAGGGTAAAGAGCGGCCGGTGCGTAAGGCTGATAATCTCAACGCCATCTGTGAGCCGATTGTCTAGAAAATGTGGGAGTCTCGACGTCTCACAACCCTATGGGCCTCCATGATCTGTTACGGGGATAGCTGTAACTTTTTTTACGTTTTATTTGAAGGGGGGAAAACGAGGAACTTCGCCTTATATTCCGTTTAATACGGTATATCCCAGATGATGGACATGTATGTTTAATCTACTGATTAAATTGAAAGTGAAGGATGCAATTGACCTTGAGTGTATCACGTGACCTGCGCACGCAACTACGCTGCAGTAAGGAGAGTGGGTGGGTGGGAGAGCATCTCATTACCGCAATGAGTTGACCAAGAGAAGAAAACAAGTAACCACTCCGTTGGTTGAATAGGTGATTGGCAACCGCTTGAAAGCATGTTGTGTGAATGTCTTGGCAGTAGGAACGTCCGTGTGAATGGGAGACCAATGTAATGACCTCTTCGTATGTAATTTTAAGCTGGTCCGTACATAGATCACTGAGACGCGATTTGAGATACTCATGGCTTCGACTCTGAAGATTATTATACCGAGATGAGATGTCATATAGACTTATACATCATTACCAACTTTTCGGAGAAACAGGCTGTCTCCTATAAGTTGGTAACGGTCTGCCGGACAGTACTGTGATCGTTATTAGAAAATTCATTTATTTTTAATTTTACTCTTCGTCAAATATATTTAGAATAATCAAATCAAGCAGGATGGGATTTAGCACATATGAGAAGAAGGAAAATGCATACAGTGTTCTGGTATGAAAGCCAGAAGGAAATAGACAACTAGGAAGACGTTGGCATTGGCGGGAGTATAAGATTAAAATTCATCTTAGAGAAATAGGATGATTGGATATGGACTGGATTCATCTGGCTCTAGAAGGAATCATCTTCACGAAGTCAGTTAATTCATAAGTTGTATATTGTGTCATATTTCCTCGAAGCAAGAACTGTGGAACCAGAGAAACAGCATCTGCTAGCGAACGGCTCTGAAACAATATTCTTTTCTAGTCTAGTCTAGTCTAGTCCATTTCCGTTGAAATGGAGACTCATGCAACAATAGAGGTACTTTTAGAAAAGGTGTTGTCTACTCGGTCCGTGCGAACGAGTTATAAGGAAGACGGGGCAACTGAGTCAGTTCTGTACCGGAGGCAGTGAAGAAAATGGACAGTTGGAAGGAAGCCGCCATCCAGAGAGGACTAGAGCGCAGAAGCAGAAGAATCTCCACTGTTAGAAGCCGTTACCAAGGAACGGCTGGTGAAGACACTGCAGTCTCGAAAAGTCTTAGCTTGTATTGCGGTGGTTTGTAAAGTGTTGATGTTAGTTGTGGCGCTTTATTTGCTTGTTATTACCAGTCGTGTATATAAGTGGTCAATAAATCCAATATCTTATAAAACCCCGTATAGAATCACTCTAATTCGTGACAATATGGACACTATCAACAGCTGAAACTATACAGCTTCGAATTATAAGATGATTACTTAATAATGAATTGGAGGGGACTAGTAGTGCCGGTCACGGTAGCCGAGCGGTCTAAGGCATGCACTGTCTTCGCTCGCTCGGAAGCCGGGATCGTGGGTTCGAATCCCACTGAGAGCATTAATTTTTGTGTGCGTTTTTCTGTGGTTGTTTACAGGTAGAGGCCTTGCGACGAGCTGATCACCCGCCCAAGGAGTCCTACCGTATGTGTAAGATCTAGAAAAACCAAAGTGAACGGAGTTCATGGAGGTAGGCCTAGGCCCACTGGGGCTGTAGTGCCAAGGAAAAAAAAAGGGACGGGGACTAGTAGTGGCGTGGTTGTAGCCTTATTTTACGATACTAGTACGGCATTTGCCTGTATAAACTGAGGAAAACCCCGAAAATCTCAGGGTAATCATCTCGAGTAATAAAAATCAGAAGAGTTACCACTTAAGCTACTTTGCTTGTTGCGTCTATCGTATCCTGATGATGGAGGCGGCATGTGCCATCGAAACATCAGTGAACTTCTTTCAGAATACACGACGCCACGTCCCAGTAAAGTATCAATATCTCAGCTGTTGCTGTGTAGCGGCAGTGAATTGCAAACACTCGGCTCGCTGGATAGAGAATCCTTGTACCCACTTCAAACGTATTTCTGCAAGCGTCACGTTTCATCTACGGAACGTAACATCGTCCTCATGGTAGAGGGCAAATCGCCTTACTTAGTTGCCTCTGTGGTCGCGGAGATGCTCCTTGTTTGGTCGAACTGATCCTCGATATAATTGGATCTTTGTCGAGGCTCCTTCACAGGTGTCCAATTAATTGTATTGTTGTGACCAGGTTACGTATCTTCAGACCCTACATCTCCATGAACACAGAGCCATATTTATTACTACGTTACCTAAAAGAAAAAACAGTTGAATTGTGAGTATTCTACAGATGTATACGTACTATTTTGAAATATAATGGCTACCATGTATATGTTATAGAATTGTTTTCTAATTATTTTCGCATTTATATCGGCTGGCACAAAATTGCTTTTTTTAGCAAAATCCTAAAAATGAAGAAGGGTTATACGAGTTCTGTTGAAATTAGCCAATCAGAGAGGATTAAATGAGTGGGTTATGAGGACGCGTGGGAGAGATTGGAAAATGTATACAGAATCTTTGTTAATAAAACCCGAAAGAACAAACTCCTTGGAACACGTGGTCCTGGATTCATTCATTCATTCATTCAACTGAGCCCTTGTTGAGAAGCGGCCAGTTGTGCTGCTACTCAAGAACTTCCCAGCATTTTACAGAACCCGAAGTTTCATTACTGTTTTCACAGGAGCCCTCCACTGGTCCCTATCCTGAACCAGATCAGTCCAATCCATACCATCCCATCCTATCTCTCTAAGTTCCATTTGAATATTGTCCACCCACCTACGCCTTGGTCTTTCCAGTGGTATTTTCCATCTGGATTTCCCACCAATATCCTTTATGCATTCCTCTTCTCCCCCATTCATGCTTCATGCCTGCCAATCTCATCCTCCTTGACTTAAACTATCTTGGATAGGAAAATAATATTAAAATGAATATTAAAGAAATAGGGTAAGCGTATGAACTAGACTCATCTGGCTTAGGATAGGGACTAGTGTGGCGTGCTCCTCTGATCAGTAAAAAAAAATCTGGATTCCATTAAATAAGGGTAGTGTCTTGACTAGCTGAACTACCGTTAGCTTCCCAGAAGGATTCTGCCCTCGAAGTTAGTTGGTAAGTCAGCTTATTATTCAGCCATATATATATATATATCCCTTTAACAGACCGTGAAGTCCCATACGGTTGAGACATTGAGGCTCCCTCATTTTCTAGACAGTCGGCTCACAGATGGCGGTAAGGTTGTCAGCCTTACGCGCCGGCCGCCCTTTACCCACCATGAAGATTCCTAATAGTCATTTCTGTTAGACGCTGAGTCGACCCTAGGTCCATAGTGCTGCTGGAAGGGTTAGGTAAATTGAAAAATTCAATGACCTCATCGAGAATGGAACCCGCGACCTTCCGACTTGTAGCACAGTACCTCAACCAACTGTGTCCCCATATACGAGTATAATTGTATTTTTTTTTTTACTGTTTTCCAGTTCTGGTCGGCTTATGTTCCCTGCGATGCCCAGTACCTTGACGCCGTACAACTTACTCTAGAGCAGATTGACCTTATCAAGAGGCTAGCTGACCTCAACCCCGAACATTTAACACTCGTCACGTCTGTCAAAGGTAAGATATTTACATGAAATATGTATTTTATATTTGTTCTTTATTTAAACCCTACAAGTGCCAAGCATCGAACATTTCGACTTTGATAAAATTGTTATATTTGGCAGCATATGCCAGCTGTTGGTGTTTCATCTGAACTACGTAGTCAAATATTTGCAGTTGTATAATATTTACCAGTGAAAGAGAAAGGGCTGTGACGTTAAAAGGGGCACATATTGGCTTAACGACGTTATCAATAGCCCAGACTGCATAGCGAAAATTGATGCGCTCCTAATGAATATTAAGTCGCAAATGACATATCATGGCCTAATTTAAGACATTCTTCCGGAAGTTTTCTGTGGTGACTGAGGAAAGTATGATAAAACTCGCTCAGAATATTCAGTGCTGGGTCGAGATACAAACTGTGAACCTTCCGAATGAAAGAAGAAGCATAACAACTAGAACTAACTTGCTGACTACATAAAATGTGGATGCCTTGCTAATTCGCATTTTTATGTCGGAGTCAGAAATTTCACAGAGCACACAATAGACTTGACTCGTTTTGGTATGGGGCTTAACTCTGATTTCCCTCTGCACACGTAAAATATTGGTATAGGAAATGAATTACAAAGCAATATTGGCAATGATAGGATGCTTGCCGCGTGGTCTATGGCATGAACCGTCTTCGCCTGCTCGAACACTGGGGTCGTGGGTTCGAATCCTACTCAAGGCATGGATGTCTGTGTTTGTGTTGTTCTGCGTGCAGGTAACGGCCTTGAGATGGGCTGATCTCTCGTCCAGGGAGTCCTGCCCTCTGTCTTGGATTAAGAACCTGAAGTGAATTGAACATTTTCATGGACGCCCTATTTTCCAAGTAGAAGCATGGGTAATAGAAGAAGAAGAAGAAGAAGAAGAAGAAGAAGAAATATTAGCTAGAAAATTCAAAGAAGGATTGCATATGGCAGACATAACTGTGGAATATGAGATTCTTTTCCAATTAGCTAATACCTGGAACGTGACACATATCCTTCTAAGTAAACGCGTGCATCCGTGGTACTGATGTCATGGGTCAGATTGTTTCACAGAAAAAGCAATAAACAGTAACATGAGTTTGTAGATGCTATTAGATTGCCCTTTCTGTAAGCTTTAGGAAAGTTTTACAGGATGTAAGAGGAACCTCTCATTTTCTTTTCCAAATAAACCTCATCACCTCGATGTTTGTGTAGAATTACTGAGGGAAACCGTTTTAAACTTCAGTTATGGTGGATGTTGTGGGAGGTAACTTCCTGAGTACGTTTCACATAAAACTTACCCACGTTACCGTTGCTTCAGCCTGTTCGGCCGATAAGAATTCTTTACAGATTAAAGGCCAGTCTGTAGAAAACTGAACAAGAGAAATTTGGACTTGAAGGACTGAGAGACAGAGTGTAGAGGAGAGATAAAAAGGCAAAGCTATCACTGTAACAGACCATGGTGGCACACAGAGTTGTGAGACTTCGAGGCTCCCACATTTTCTCTAGACAATCGGTTCACAGATGGCAGTAAGGTTGTCAGCCTTACGCGCCGGCCGCCCTTAACCCCCCAGGAAGATTCCTGGTACACACCCACTGGGACCTCTGGATCTGTAGCCGGGTACTGTGACCACTAGACTGCAGAGGCGGTCTTGTCGTCGTTAAATAAGAAACTTACATAAAATATAGTTGAATATGCAAGAATTCTCTGTAAAATTTTCTACTCAGGACGTGACGTTAAGAGCAGAAGGAAGAGCGAGAGATCTGATAGTGGAGACTTCAGTTTTCCTGTTCTGTGTCTCGATGGATTTACATTATAGGTGCTCTGCCTTACTTTATAGTACCTGTTTCATTCTTTATTGTTCAAGTCATTTCACATGGCGATAAGTGGCGACGTCTGGAGGGAAAAAACTGTAATTACAATCTTGGTTCAGGGGATGTCTGGATACCAACAAGAATCTCATTATCATGCCAGACACAGGAGGTAGTATGCTGATAAACACCTACAGAAGTAACAGCCCTTAAATTCATTTTCTTAATCCCTCTTTGTAACTCACTGGAGTGAAAACACAGGTTGAATTCGCTTGGAAACAAGGCACAAAGAACACCCGTGCTGCACACAGATGCAGCTCCAGAATAGTGGATATTATTAAGCAATGTGTTTTGTACGACCGTCTCTGTTGTCTAGTGGTCAGAGTTTCTGGCTACAGATCAAGATCCTGGTTCGATACCCGACGCTACCAGATTTTCTGAGTAGTGGGTCTGGAACGGGGTCCACTCAGCCTCGTGAGGATAATTGAGGAGCTATTTCAAGGAAATAGCGGCTCCGGTCTATAAAACTGAAATTAACGGCCGTGGGGATCCGTTGCGCTGACCACGTGACACCCTCTATCCACTAAAGTTGGCACTAACTTCTTTGACAAACGGCGGTCGCTCTGTCGGTATAGTTCGCTTACGGAATAAAAACCACGGAGTTTGTTTGTGTTTTGTATTTTTCTGTTTATGTTTCAGAGAATTAAAGTGAGGAATGGTGAGCTATGAATCAGTGAATTTATAAATAAATGAATACTTCATTATGTCCGTCGCATTTTAGAATTGGGGGGTTCTGGAATGTGACTCGCTGCTCCTACTTTATAGAATCCGGCCTACAATACAATTCGTATAATAGAGAACTCAACTATTATATTGTCACATATAGGGGTGACTGTTAGACGGGGTTTGAATGGGCTGTTTGGATTCATTTCACTTATACATTTGTAATTACAAGTAATAGAGCTCTACCGCTAATCTCAGCACTTTAAAGTTCACTGCTCAGTGTATTAGAGTCTTCACTATCCGTTACCTGGCAACGGGTTTTAACACAAGAACTATAACAGTCTCACTGAATTAGACACTCCAAATATTGCGGTACCATAGAACACATAAAGTCTTCTCTTCAGAGTTTCACTTTCAGCTCTTGTGAACTGTACTCAATAATTCTGAAGCCTCAGTTCGTCTGCTCCAAAGCTCATATTCTGGCAGGCTAGCGTCTCGAAACTCAACTGACTTAAAAGATCTTCGGCATGGACCGCACAGAAAACACAGATATTCTGCTGTTGCGTGTTTACTCACTTGTTCCATAGCAACGGCTGTACGCGTCACATCTCGCATCGTGACAGTTCCTCAATGGCTGTTTTTTCTTCTTCCACAGTTCTGGCCTTCAGCAAATACGTCACAGTACATTAACGTAATTAATAAATAATAAATGATAAATGATATAAACTCCGTCTCAAGTGCAAACAATATATTTTGTGTCTTTGATCTTGCTCCCTACACTACATGTTTCGGCCTCAGACGGCCATCATCAGGTGTATAACACTCACGTCGCTGTCACACTGCACCCAGTTCAAAATTTAACATCTAAAACACTCTCCCTGTCATTATCAACTTCTACTTCGTTGATAGCTGTCCACCCGTAGATTACTTCACACACGTTAATTTTGAGTTTATTGTAATAGCACCATAATAAAATCTTTAGTTCTAATTTT